TGGAACAGCTAAGCATCCATGTAAAACATTGGTGCAGAAATATAGGTGCCTCTGCTGGAAAGGAAACTCCTGGTTTATTGTGTTGCTGAAAATGCCTCATCATTTTTCAGATGTGACAACTATTGTGCCAGTAGGAGTGAAGTAAAAGTACCGTTAATTACTGTTTCAATTGTGTTGTTGTTTTGATTTTATTGCAGCTAGTTTAGTTATTTAGAAAGGATAGGTGTATTACCTCCAGAAGACAGGTAGGGAAGGAAAGGAGGAGGAAATGGAAGAGAATGCTAAAATAAAATGTGAAAATCCTGAATAAATTATTAATAACAATAAAAAGCAAGAAACGTGCTGTTAAATATCAGAAGTGCAACCATTTTGGGAAAGCTTCTGAATTGCAGGAATATATTTAAAAAGTAACCAGCTTGTTTGCATCCTTCTTTCTGTTACTGTGTCCTTGCTTTCCTTTCTTGCTGCTGTGGTTCTTTGTCACTTTTGCTACTTGCATTGTATTCCTCTGCACTGGGAGCCTCCAAACTAAATGAGGCTTGAAGCTTTCAAAGGTAGTTTGAAACTGGGTAGTTTTATTGTCAGTGTATCCAATTCTACAAGGGCCCAGTGAAAAACACCTGCTGCCTCTCCTTCCCCAGATGCCTTTTGCTCTACCAATCTCTTATGTCACCTGGGATAGAATTAGGTTCCTCTGCAGTTCTGGCTAGCCTGCAAGACAGCCTGAGAAAAACAAAATTATGGGTGGTATTCAACTGAATAAATGCACAGCGGAAAAACTTCCACTTCTGCAATGGGACATTCACACGGACAAACCACCACATGTACTGTACTCCATCTCCAAATCTGCTCTGGAAGAAGAAGAAGAGTTTGGACTGGATATCCCGCCTTTCACTCCCCTTCAGGAGTCTCAAAGCGGCTAACATTCTCCTTTCCCTTCCTCTCCCACAACAAACACTCTGTGAGGTGAGTGGGGCTGAGAGACTTCAAAGAAGTGTGACTGGCCCAAGGTCACCCAGCACCTGCATGTGGAGGAGCGGAGACGCTTCCCCAGATTACGAAACTACCGCTCTTAACCACTACACCACACTGGTTGGGGGTGGTGATCCAGAACAGCTTTAGTGGGCATGAGTAGGGATGGGAGGGGGAAAGTCCTGTTGCACAAATGGAATTCATTGCACAAATGGAAGTCATTCCACTCACACAAATTTCTGCTTAGTGCTGCACTGAATACAACCCTATCTCTCTTAATATTTCGCTGCTTGCATCAGTCACGTGTCTTAAGAGTGGCAAAACGTTGCCAGACTCCGTTGCAGTTTCCAAGTGTTGTTGCCAACACCATCTCAAACTTAGTTTATTAATGCAACTTTAATTATAAAGCAGTGCTTTATGTTTTATAACATCTCCACATCCCGAAGTTCTCCTTTATTTCAGAGCTATATGTGGAATATGAAGTGCCACTGGGAATCGCATTTCAAACTTCGAGCTCAGATTCTCAAAAGGCATTGATCTCGCTCGGGTCTGTGAGTCTAGTAGAACTGTTTAAGAAACCTCTAGCCTGGTGTTTAAATATAGATTAAAGTACCTAACTTTAGACTCTCACCTTTTATAAAATGTCACTTGAATCACAAAGGATTTTCCATGAAATGGGGAACACTGCAAGAATTGTGAATATATTATTTTGTACAAGATATTAATAATTTATGGTTTATGCAAGTTTGAAGTGGGTAATGGGGTGACTTATAGCAAGGTGCCATTCCAATTCTTAAGGAGAAGCCTGACAAGCTGACTTTTGGGATCCTATCTACTAGAAATGTATTCCACTATTTCTCACATAGAAATGGTCAGGAATAGTATGTGAGAGTGTGATTCTGTGGTCTCTGGGAGGGCATCCCATGAGTCATAGGATATTGAGGGCCACTCCCCAGGCAGAGAAGGATGTCCACCTATAGAGAGAAAGGTCTGCTGCAGAGGGCCTCCACTGTCTAGTAGTGAATAAGTTCTGTTATCTATTTTTTGAGTCATTCAGCAGTTTCACGCTTAAATCTTAGTGATAATGTAGACCACTTACTCAAGATGACTCTTCACATGTCAGGTGGGCAATGATTGAACAACTCTATTATTTATATATATTGAATTCAATACAATTTGTTTCTCTCCCTTGAGCCCAGGAGAGGGTTTCGTCTTCTTGTTCCAAAACCACAACTCTTTCGTAGCAATGCACAAACCATTAGTCCTTAGCTTGCCTGTCTTCATAAACTCTTCTGGAGTCTGCTTGAAGTCTTCACACTCCCATGTTCTCAGTCAGCCAGCCAACTCCCACCCTCGTTCTTAGAGACACACACACACACACACACACACACAAACACACTTTTAAAGGCAGTTAACAAGTTAACGAGGCAATGGTTCAGCGTTTCTGTGACCTTGATTGGAGTCACCAGCTTTGCAGCTGTTACATTACATATGTTTTCTTTTCCCCAGTACAATTTATTCTTTGTAAAATACATTTTCTGACAAGTATGGTACAAATACTAACAGGTTCTGCTACTGTGGTTGCCCCACCAGCAGTCCTCCGTAGGTGTTGAATGCAAAAGGGGATTTGGGCAGCAGTTCAGCAGAAGAGCCAAGTCCATTCATCTCCTAAAGGGGCCCTAGAATGGGAAGGAAATATCTCTATAAAGACAGAAGAAGCTATATAAAGCCACGTTCCATCACTACCTTGATATGATTGTTAGTATTTCACTTCTCCCATTGCAAGGATCATCTGATCCTATTGTTTACTTTCTTTTCCATGAGAAAGGAAGCCTGTCTGTGTGACTTCCGTCTCTAGTACTAGTGTACTTTTCCTTTCTACTCTGTCTTGAGGCGAGACAGGGTGTCTGTATAAGGGCTGCTCCTCTCATACATGTTTGTTATGTTCTTTAATCTGTAATTAGTAGAAATAAAGTAGGTATGCCCAGATACCTCCTCGCCTCCATCTGCGCTGCCTTTACGCTGTAAAGACCGGGTGCTCACAAGAGAGTAGCTGTTAGTCCCAGAACACCAGGACCTCTTCCTGGGAATGCTACGTGGCTGTTCCAGTTGCCGGAGGAGGCCATGGGGCCTGCAGGAGTGTTCCATTATTGAGATGAATGCAGCTGACCTCAGGATGTGACAATACCTCTGCAATAGACTCTCAACTCCCCACCCCAACACCCATAGGATTGTTCTGTTAATTCATCAGTGTTTAATTAATCATAGACTGGCATGGATTCAAAATATAACATGAAAAATAGTCTGATTTTATATTCAAACGTATTAAAATATGGTTTGGTTATCATGCACCCTGAACCAGTGGCGGGTGGCATGGTGGCACTCGCTTTACCTCCAGGCAACTGCACTGCTGCTGCTGACCAGGAGGTAGTGATTGGGCCATGGTCACCTAGTGAGCTTCATGGCTGAGCCTGTTATGAGTGCAGTTATTGAAGTGTTTTCTAATTATTAGGTTGTGGGCGGGGACATTAAAGTAAAAGAGGAAGTATTATTATTATTATTATTATTAAAGAAAATCACATTTCCCTTTGGCCAGCGTATTGGATTTACAGGTAGATAGACAGACAGGCCGGCCCAAGCCCTTTGGCTGGTATAAACTTAATTCAGGGTGGTACAAACATAATATTAAGTTGGGGGGTGGAGGAGTTCCTTCTCAAAGAACAGTTATTGACACAGCTCATGGTTTGGAAATAAGGCTAAGACAGACCATGTCTTAGGCCTGGGTAGCATAGCAACAGCAAAATCAGTGGCGGAGTGCTGCTTCTGTGATCTTGGGTTGGCACTGCATGTGAACTGGGTCACTGTCAACCTAACCGCTTACAGCCTGGCATCCACATGTCTGATGCTTATGATTCAGGCTGAGCAGTTTTTAAAAGAGGGGTCCCTTTATGGTTCCACTATAATGCATTTATTAACTTCTAGTTTTGTTTTGCTGTTGGGTTGTGTTTTTTTAACAACTTTTGTTTCCTGAAAAGATTATTATAAATGTGCTGTATTTAATAATGCATTAAAAATTGAAATGCAAAGTTTTAGGTATAATTATTGTAGTTCTGCAGCAACCTCTGGAGCATATTAAAACTTAATATATGATGTACAAAGGGACAAGATTAGCATACAGATTTTGTTCACACTAATGCTGACTAGGTTTAATCAGGTGCATAATGACTGCTCAGATGGGCTATGATCAAAAACTTCCTGTTAACTTTAATGATCTCTGAATCAGCCCTTCTGAAAAGTTAAGAGTGTTAACAGTAAGACAGATTTATATATATATTTTTTAAAAAACGTCCATTCTGATATATTCACTACAGAACAAAATACCTTGTGGTTAGAAAATTATCTGGAATAACACTGTGATTTGTTTTGAATCTTTAATCATAATCTTCGACACACATTCAGTAATTCTGGTTGTCATATATCCTATATTTTTAAAGTTCAATTTTTATAGGTTTTTGAAGACCATTTTAACAGATTCAGATTTCTCCCTTCCTCTTGAGACTGTTCGTTTCCTCTTAGAGCAAGAATGGGAATTTCCCCCCTAGCCACATGAGAGGAGCAATTTTCATTCTGATCAGTGCTCGGGAGGTAAGAGGTAAGACTCTTCTCACACCCCATACCTATAATGTAATTAGCAAAAATTGAAGACATTGCTACGCACTACACAGGAAGCAGAAGATGTCGTTTGTCCTTGAGTGTGCCCTTTGCAAGATTCAAGATTCAGTGAGAAAGACACAGAGAGATGCAGGCAGACAAGGAGCTTGCAGGCTGAGATGCAAACTTCTAAAGAACATGGACTTGTTAAGAGAATCCTCTTAAGAGATTGAGGGATTTAAAACACAGTTTCAGTCTGAACAGAGTATATACCCCTGTACAGGTTTATTTCTGTATTATATGGTCGGGCTGACTTCCTGTCAGCCATGCATGATTTAAACTTAAAAAAAAAAAAAAAAAACAGCTAGAATTCCATGGCCCATACAGCTCTGATAGCTCAGGCAGTACAGCATGAAACTCTTAATCTAAGGGTTGTGGTTTCGAGCCCCATGATAGGCAAAAGATTCCTGCATTGCTAGTGATTGGACTGGATGACCCTTGTGGGTCAACTCTATGATTCTATGATAGTCTATGCGTCTCATGTTTGCCCCATACTTGGCTATTTTAACAAATTGGGTGTAAATACCCTTTGTGGACATAATATTAAAGGAGAGCTCACAGAGCTACCTTGCAAGCCTTCCTTCATAACCAGACTGTTAAGACACTTAACCTCAGGGTTGTGAGTTCAAGTCTCATGTTGGACAAAAGATTCCTGCATTGCAGGGGGTTGGACTAGATGAACCATACAGTTCTATGAATCTATGCACACAAGCAAACTTAATATTATACTGAGCCATTTGCTCCTTCATTTCCCCACTTCAGCCTCCTGCTCCATCTCGAGCTGAGAAATCTAGCCCTTTCTGCTGGATTCTTGAAATGGTAGGCATCGGTGCCACTTCCACCACATGTAGAATTGTACAGTTAGAAGGGACCACGAGGGTCATCTAGTCCAACCCCATGCAATGCAGGAATCTTTTGCCCAACATGGGGCTCAAACACACAACTCTGAGACTAAGAATCTCATGCTCCAACAACTTATCTATCCCAGCTATTAGCAGTCATGTTTGTATATGTAGCAACAGTAACATACAAACAAAGCCAATGAAAATGAGGGTGAAGCTTCCTTGATTAGTCACACAGATGATCTCACCCAATCAATGATTCTTTATATGGCTTCTATATACGTAGGCTCTGCACAGAAGTTCTGATTAATGTTCCGAGGTGGGGCAAACAAGAGCATTTGTGCCCTTCCTCCTTCACACATTCATTTTACATGGATATGACAAGTAAATGGGCTAATTCAGCCTTGGTTCTGAAGTTTTCCCTGGAGAACAACAGTATCTGAAAATCCCTTGGATGTAAGCAGAGCCATAGAATGTGGAATTGCATTACAGAAATTCCTCCAGCAGAAGTAAGAAAATATAACGAAAACACAGGAGAGCTGCTAATATTATGTTACAGACCAACATATCTGCAGGGGGATGATAAAACCAGCCTGGAAAAAAAAATCAAGTTTCGAAGTATGCATTGGCAATGCTGGTATTAATATTTATATAGAATGCAGGATCAACACAATGCCTTGGGCAAAAATTTTGCTTATTTTAATAATGTTGTAAAGTGCTTCCTTCAAGCAAGGACAGGCACCAACCAAAAGAGACTAAATTACTTCCAAGTGTAATGTGTGTGAAAATACAGGAATGGAGCAGTTATAATGTGCTCTCAGTGCTACCTTTTTAGAAGTACTGTGGGAGTTATTAAAATGTGTGTGTAAAACTGCTTGATTTCACATGCTAAGCTTTACTACAGTATTTAAAAAATACAGAGTGCTAGGCAACTGAGTCCATCCACCAATGAAAGAAATCCACTGGTGGAACAGAGAAAGGGAGGCAGTTTTGGGTATATATTTCCCACTCCTTCCTATATCCTCCCAAACCCTCATTCATAAATCTGCTCTGGAACATCCTCCAGCCTTCCAAAGCAGATTGTGATTGGGGGGCGGGGGGGGGATTCTGTGTAGAGTAACTGGGAATGACCAAAAATTGCCTCACTTCCCTCTTCTGATGACAGGCTGAGTTTGCGCCCCGAGGCCCCCAAGCCCTTCCCCAGTAAAAAAATTCAAACGGACACATAATTGTAGTTTAAATTTTGGGGCAAAATTTTGGCCACAACTTTATTGATTACAATACAAATTGAGCGGTATTGGCCTAGGCATTGGTCAGGGACTATAACTGACTCCTGCCTCTCTGACTGGCAGTCTGAAAGGGTAAACACCAAACGAGGGAGCAACATTGATGAAGATCGATTGAAGATCACCCCGGGGTTCCTGTGGTCCTGGCATGGCCCTAGCCCCTCAAGCGGACTTTGGGTGAGATCCAGGACCCCCAGATTCCCTTACTGGAATACCCTAATTATGGAGGGGCAGGTGATGGGCACACCTCCCATCCCGCACATTTCTATAAACCAATGCCTAACCGCCAAACCTTACAAAGTTGTGACGATTGCTAAGGGGGTAGGTGAAAACCAAGTGGCCAAAGCCAATCTGCCAAATGGAAAAATTCCTACCCAGCCCCTGCTCCAAAGCAGGCGATCCAATCCAAAGCAAGGCCAATTAGTAGCACCAAATTAGGGGGGCAGCGCAAAGCAAGTTCCCCACCCACGTTGCGCTGCCACATTTATAGGACCCCGGGATCACGCCACCTGCCCCAATTGGCCCAAACAGCCAGGCACAATCCCAGGGCCCAACTGACAAGGCTTGGGCCATGCCTAGTAACAACTCACCCCATGGGGGTGACTTAAGGGGCCCTAGAGCAACCAGGACCCTCAATTAAGGAGGATCCCATTTGCCAGCAAACACACAGCATTAAATGCTACCCATCCTATTTTACACATTTGTAGAGGTTATATGTGACAATGAATTTTCATTTTCAGTTGCCTGGTAGATCATGAAGAACTTAGATCAGCTACCTGGTAATAATATATTCTGTCATGCAGATAAAGCTTATTGAACCAACAGTGTTGTTCCTTTACTAGATCAGAATAATTTATATCACCGTTGATTACAAGAATAAAATTTGGTGGGCTATGGGTGTAGTAATAGAATTAGTTGCCTAGTTCAGCTGGCTACTTTTGAATGAGAGAGATGTAATGACTGACAACACAATCATCTATAATCCAGTTAATCTGTAAAATTGTAATGTCTGGTTGTAAACTGAATTAGTCTCTTGTATGTGTTTTGCAGGGGGTGGGGGGTGTTAACACTTTTAAATCTGAAGGCTTCATGTTACACTTTGAATTTTGCACAGGAATCTATTTAGCTGCAAACACACTATACATTAAAAGCATATGACTAGCTCCAAATTATACTGGGAACTGTATTTTGTTAAGGGTGCTGGGAATTATAGCCCTGTGATGGGCAGAACTTACTATCTGTGGTTACCTCTCATGCAAGCAGCCTCAGGCATCAATTGCACGTTGGCAGAGTGGTGGGGTTTCAAGAAGAACAAAGACTGCATCATACCTGTCATCTTTTAAAGCACATCTGACCCAGGTGGGTCTTGACTGGCAAGTGGTCTTTTCCAGCCAACCAATACAGTGGTACCTTAATTCGTTCCGGAGGTCCGTTCTTAACCTGAAGCACCACTTTAGCTAATGGGGTCTCCTGCTGCCGCTGCGCCGCCGGAGCACAATTTCTGTTCTCATCCTGAAGCAAAGTTCTTAACCCGAGGTACTATTTCTGGGTTAGCAAAGTCTGTAACCTGAAGCGTATTTAACCTGAAGCGTATGTAACCCGAGGTACCACTGTACTCATGGCACATTTGTCAGGAAGTTAGTTTGACACCTTTTGGCAGTTAAAACACCACCTGGAGGGCTCATAAATTACTTTCCACTGGACTCCCCTTATCCCAGTGCTAGAAAGGATTTAATGAGGAACTTTGTGTATATATGAAGGGATGTGCCTTTTTCTCTGTGCATAAAGCTAGGCAAAAAACCCAGACCTGTGATTTATGCTTCATTTAGCCTGAAAAGGATGAAGAAGAATCAACTTATTTGCTTTATAAAACTTTTCCTAGTTGGTTTCCTGGATATAATTCTTACTTGTCACAGATGTCAAAACTGAGTAGCTGTTTTGAAAAAATTGCTGCATATCATGCACTTGTAGCCTTCAAATAGCACATCCTGCATATGCACTGTGGAACATACACTGATCCTTGATTCCTAGTTTTGATCTTGTGTTGTTTTTATTGGGGGCAGGAAATGAGGAGAGGGAGTTTTTATACTTTTGTACTGCTGAAATAAAGACACAGATGGTGAGTAACTGACCTGTTGCATTCTTGACCCCCCCCCCCCAAATAACAAGATTCACTTGCTTGATGCAAGTGCCAAATAGCACAAAGGGAAACATCCCTGGTTTAATATTTTATGGCTGAATCCTTGTGGTCTGTATGCCACTTTATTATGTAGCATACATTGTGTTTGAAACTATACAACCCTGAACAGATTCTGTGCATAGTTTGTTTTTCTAAAAAGTCATGCTGTCATCAGTAATATTTCTGGGAGTTAGTTTCCCATCCAATTCGTTTCAGTAAAGGGGTTGTGGCACTCATCCTGTATCATATTATAACATAAAAAGGTAAAGGGACCCCTGACCATTAGGTCCAGTCGTGACCGACTCTGGGGTTGCGGCGCTCATCTCGCTTTATTGGCCGAGGGAGCCAGTGTACAGTTTCCAGGTCATGTGACCAGCATGACTAAGCCACTTCTGGCAAACCAGAGCAGCGCACGGAAACGCTGTTTACCTTCCCGCCGGAGTGGTACCTATTTATCTACTTGCACTTTGATGTGCTTTCGAACTCCTTGGTTGGCAGGAGCTGGGACCGAGCAATGGGAGCTCACCCCGTTGCAGGGATTTGAACTGCCAACCTTCTGATCGGCAAGCCCTAGGCTCTGTGGTTTAACCCACAGCGCCACCCTACATAGGTATAAATTCAGATGGTGAAACAGAAGATTTTGGAATGAAAAATGATTTCAATCATTTCATTTTCTGTAAGGTTCAAAACAGTCCATGTTCATTAAAACCAAAAATACTTTTGGGGCAGTTAATAAAGTTCAGTGAATCATCTTTCACTAATGTTCGGTTACATTTAAGTAAAGATTCTTAGGGCTACTTCAAGACAACAAAGGGCTTCCAGTGTCTGAGCCACAGTGTATAAAAGTCTCTGAGCAACACCACTGTTGAGTATTATTAGGAATTGCAAATGCTTCAGCAAACATTAATATCTAATTAAACCAAACTAGTCCATAATGAATCTGGAGGAGTGCAAGAATAGCACCTACAAAATTAATGACAAAATTAAAGAGGTGCTTTCTCTACCCCACCTCCAGTCCAGCCTTCTTTTTATTTGTTCCTATTCTAAACACACACACACACACACACACACAGCCCTCATCCTGATTTCTAA